GCACCGGAAGCGCTAAGATGTCACGCGCGGCCTGAGCTGCCTCTGGCGTCGAAGACATGCGTACCTCCGGCGAGGCTTGTGCGGACGGGACTGGACTACTCCGCTCAGCCTGAGTCGGAGGTCTCTGTCCCGATGGGGATCGCAGGCTGCCCAACTTGGGTCTGGCCTCACCCGTCCTTCTCTCGGTGCTGCTGAGACTTCCCTGGCTTCTTAGCTGGGGAGCGGTGCCGGGACGTCAAAGGCGCCTCGCTGCGCACCGAGGACACGGTACCGGGTGCTGCTTCGGAACGGCGCATCGGAGGCGCTTTGCCACGCGCCGAAGATGCGGAGCCCGGTGCGGTGTTGGCTCAACGCGCCGGTGCCGGGGCCAATGCTGACTCCATTAACAGAGCTCAGAGTCGGATCTCACGCTCCTTCTTTGTCCGCGGCTTGAAGGAATGGCAGATCTTGCACTTGTCACTAATGTGAGACTCGCCCAGACAGCAAAGACACTGATTGTGTGGATTGCTTCTGGGCATGGAGTTGCGACAGGAGTCGCACGACTTGAAGCCTGGGCCACGGGGCATGCCCCGAGCCAGGCACTCTCGAAAGAAAGTTCAGCAAGGAAGAGATCAGTGAAACTGGATACCACTAAGGCTAGAAATGCTGCAGCTAAGCTAAGCTGGAGCAAGTTCCGACTACCTTCACTGGCAGCAAGAAGGAACTGAGGGTGGGGGGAGCACGCAGCCCCCTTTATGGCGTGATATGTCGGCGCCACTCCAGGAGTCGCAGCGGTGCTCCCCCCTACGGATACTGCTAAGGGAAAAACTTCCGGCACCGGTGCACGTAGCGAGCACGCACACCTATAGTGGAATACACCTAAGCAATCACTCGAATAACTTAAATTATTATTTGAAAAAAGAGGCAAGACTTAAAGGAGTCCAAACAGAAACATAAAAAAAGGGTTGTCTCAACTCAGCGACAGCAGCCCCACTTCATGCAGCCCCAGAACACTACATCGGGTCACCAAATCATATCACTGAATTTGCTTCAATAATAAAACTAAAGTTAAACCCATTTTGAACACATACCTCAATTACACTTAACCCAGCAGATCTAAAGTGGCCATATTTTGAGATTTGAACATTTGATGACATTTGTGCGATTTGGGGCACAGCTTTAAACCACATAAGCCACATTTTTATATGGGCCTTGAACTGTGTTCCATTTGTGTGCATGCAACTTCATGTGTATTCTCACTGCACTTGTGGAATTGCTGAGATGGCCAAGTAGCAGCTACACAGACCGGACAGAGGCCGTCTGTAATTCTATTTTATAAATGGACAGAAAGAGAGGCAATGCCTGGGGCAGGGGGAGCATGGGGTCGTGTGCCCCCAACCCCCTGATTTCTACCAGGGTTTATATGCCCTGTCCTGAACCCCGCTGCATGCCACCAGAACCTTTAAATCAAAGGTTTTCCAACTGTGGGGCATGCCCCCTATGGGGGCACAGAAGAACATTCAGGGGGCAAGCAGTGGCTCAGGCTTCAGCCCCACATGGCAGGGCTCAGGGAGCACCACCTCTACCCCGTTTCACCTATTTTTGTCTGGGTTGGGGTGGGTGGGACACAACCAAAAATTGTTACTGGGGGGGGGGGGGGGGGGGGCTCAGCTCAAAAAGTTTGAAAACCTCTGCTTTAAATTGTGCCCCCTGCTATCAACAGTTATGCATCGTCTCTGGACAGAAACTGAGGACAGACTGCAAGGGAAGTTTCTAAAGGGCCAAACAATTTATGATCCCATCGGCCAATGTGCTCCTGCATACAAGTTCTAATGAATGCTGCACCTCTCTTTGCTTAGTTAAATTACATCACAGTCAGCACCTGAACTTAGCTGACAGCAATACCAGGGCTGCATATGTCTCTTGCTAAAGGGGGGTCTATTTGTTTTGGTAAAATGTGTGCATATCTTCTTGTGAGTGGCTGACTTTAATTGTGCTACAGCTGGTACTGATTGTCTGTGGATTAAATGGGGATTTACTTACTGACTGGATATCTTTCTGTCACAAATTTGAGTCCCAGCCTATTCCCAAAGCGACATGCTACACAGAGCTAGCCCCTTTGAATGGCTCCACTCCCGTGCCCTGGATTACCAACATTCTCTTTTGATTCCTACAGAAGCGGCTCTTAGGCTGTGGAATCTGGTAGTTGGTGATACTACTCACTCACTCACTCAAGCTCTCCCTCTGGGTGTCTTGAGCTAGTCATTTTTCCCCACTTTACATTCATATCACACCCATGACCCTGCGCTGTTTAGAATTAAGGGTGCTGAAGAAGCATAGGTTAGCTTTAGAACAAATGTTCTTGAAAAGGTAAGAACCAAGAAAATTGAATTTCAGTGCAAGGAAGATTAAAACACATTAAGCAAAGACAATAGGGGAACACTAAATTAGAATTTGTTTAGGGATACTAAGCATACGTTTAGAAAGCAGGAGATTATGAAACAAAATGTTTGAGGAAGAAAGAAAAGAATTGACAAGGATTTAGGAGAGCTTGTGATACTGTCTGATAGAGAGATTTAGGCTTCCAGTGCCCAACCGAGTCAGTTTTTATAACACTCAAAAAAGTAGTTCCTAAAACACACTACTCTGATTGCCAATGTTCAGAGAAAAAAATATGACAGAGTAACCACCAACAATTTGAGCAAATAACCGAAACAATGCCATTCTGCTGCAATATTTTAATTTACACAGTGAATTTGGAATCAAGACTGAAAGGAGTAAAAACTTCCCTGCTCACTAAAAGGTTTCTATTAAGGAAATATATATATATATATATAAATAAAATATATATATTTTATTTATATATAAATAAAAATAATTGAACATTTCAAACATATGGGACAATCTCCAAGGAGTTGGCTGTTTTTGGTCTCTCTTAGGGTATGCCCAGCTTGTGTGTTTTCAAGAAACATTCAAATACTTTTCCTCTACATTTAAAATCTTTAATTAATATACTTAAGCAGTTAGAAATGTTGGCTCTTATTGTTCAGCTAGAGTACTAAAGCTTTAGAACAGAACCACTGAACCTAAGCACTGCATTCACATAATTTAGAAAATTAATTTAGTGTTGCACTCAGAAACTCTTTCTGCATGACTACCAGCATTGGTGCTTTGTATAAAGAAAAAAAAAAACAAAAATCTTGTTAAAAAAAAAAAAAAAAAAAAAAATAGAAGAAATTACCAGGGTGTGATGGGTGTTCTCCGCACCCTTACCTGACAGGGTTAAGGTAGTTGGGAAGGAGTTAATTAACCTGACAGCTACACCTGGGAGAGAATTAGGCTGGAGAGACAAGCCCTAATTAAAGCATGGAGCCCAGCTGGAAAGGAACAGAGGGGTCTAGTGTAAAGCCAGGAAATTGGCAACAGAAAGAGACTGTAGTGAGGGAGCCTCTAGTCACTTTCTGGATGTTCGAGAGGGAGGGAAAGAAGGACATGCAGGGAGAAAGTAGAAACCCCAGGGGATCAAGGCCCAGAAGGAAGGAAGGGTTTATCCAGAAGGGTGGTGGCTCAGAGAAACAGCAGCAAGATTTAAGATGGTACAGACCTTAGCATCTAAGTAGAGGCGCTCTGAGTTAGAACCTGGAGTAGAGGGTGGGCCTGGGTTCCTCCACCAGCCACTGGAAAGTGGCACCATCTGGGTAGTGATGGAGAAGGCTGCTGGAGACAGTCTTCTATGGAATGACTTTGATACCCCAGAAATGGGAAAACACAGTGACCTGACTGGAGGAACAAGCCATGAAGGGAGAGTATCTGGAGTCAGAGGGAGAGAGACACAGCAGGGCATGCAAACAAACATATGTCGGACCTGGAAAGAGCTAATCCCCATAGAAGCCAGGAGGAGGCGCCCTAGTAGCGAGTGGATCCCATGACACAGGGTCTCCTCTCTTAGCAGCAGTCCAATTCAAGTAGAAACTGAATAAATAAAGGACTACAATGAAACTATAAATTAACTACACATGATTACAATGAAAATTAAAGATACGCCTTTGTGTGGTATCTGATTGTTGTTATTCTTAACCAAATGACGTACACAACAGAATTCTGTATTTTAAAGTTACTATCCTCTGTGTTTCTAACACGTTATAGACACTGATCACTGCATATTTACGAAAACATCTTAGCTGAGCTAAACACTGAGCTAGTTTTAAGACTATACAGTTATGACACATGCCCAGTGAAGTAAATGCTTTTTTTGCTATGTTGTTTTAAGCAGAGGTGTTCCTGGAAGCATTTTTAATTTTGCTGGCACCAGTTCAAACAACCCAAACTTTTATAGAATAAACAAAGAATCATCCCTTCCAATTTAAAGAGAAAATAAAGTGCAAGTAGTCCTCAGACTGCGCCGTTAAAAGTGCCAACATGAGGACAGCACTCGAGAGGGTAAATAATAAGTGATCTATAAAAACACCACAGAGAAGTTTAAGAATTAAAGTGGGAATTTAACTTTCACTAGATGTTCTCTGCTCTCTTCTTGATGTCTGCAGCCAGGAGAAGCGGTGATCAAGATGACCCTATGTATCGCCCCCTCACATGTTCTTAAAAAACTTACACATGAGGCAAACATCTATTAGAACATAATAAAAAGTTTAAGATATCAAATAATCAGTATCAGAATTATTACCCAATTTCAATGCATAATAAGAAAAATTCTGGCACGATAGAAAAAGTTTTAGGGACAGATTTTCAAAAGAGATTTTAATTTGGAGTCAGAATTTCATTGAGAGCGGCTAGATGCTGAACTCTTCTGAAAATCTGGGCCAGAGAGCCTTAGACCCCAAATTCTTATAAAGCCTGGGTAACTTTATGTACCTGAGTTGTTCCATTTAATTCAATAGGACTATTCAAATGCATAAGTATTTGCAGGATTGGGGCTTGATTCTGATCTCATTTAAATCAGAAATGACTTCAGTAAAGCCAATGAAGTTACATTGGTGCAAGTGAGATTAGAATCAGGTCCATAATGAAGAAATGAACTGTTTAGTTTTCCTATTTTAAGTGCAATTAATGATATTTTGTGAAAATGGTGGTTGAGAACAGTAGCATAATTAGTTATTTCATTGCTTTTCCATTGAAAATTGTTACAAAATTGGATTGAATTTGCTCACTTACTGACTACATAAGCTTGACTTATTCACAGCCTTCGAATTACATGAGAGGACATATATGGGGCTATTTGGAGTGAATGAAAGCACATTATCATGAGAAAATGCAATATCAGAAAGGTATTTATACAATGCAGAAGTGAAGCAGGGAGATGAGATACAGCAGCTTCCTGTCAAAGGTAGTCTGAGATCAGTAAAGCTGCACTGGAACTTAAAAGTGCAAGAAGCTGAAGGTAAACAGGATATGGCCTGTTTGTGGCCTTTTCCTAGCTAAAGTCATTGACACTTTACAAGACAAAATCTCAACCAAGAGACCACATCATAAAAAGAGTTGGGAATGTTGATCAGAATTCCCCTGCTGGACATGTTTTTTAAAGCATGACCATAAAACTGGATTTCTACAGACAGTGTTGTATATTGTACGGGGTTAATATTCGGTCCCGATTTTCTTCATACTTTTCTATCATTTTCTGCATGTCATTATCAGCTGGAATCACCTAGAAAACAAGAAAATGAAAATTAGAACAAGAGGCCCTATAAAAATCTGTATATTCTTTCCAAAAATCATTCATTTTGCTAGCATTTGAAAAGCAAGAAATACTACCACTAAGTCCCAAAATGAACTACTCCTAGGCACTTGGTCAATTTGTTTTCAGTGCAGGGTTTGGGATGGGTTTTTACAAGCAATGGGTCAGATTCTGCAAACACTTACAGACAAGCATAATGCTTACTACTGTAAATAGCCCCTTGGGTGATGAAGTAAGAGTCATTTGCAAGATCAAACTCTAAAGCTGTATCCTATTGAGAGTCATGAACACTTCTTGAAATTTTTCTTCTCCAAATCATATTAGAAAAACTAAAGTGACATTTGAGAATTGAAATTTTCTCTGTGTGTGCGCGCGCTTACCTGGTTACAATTGATAAATATATACTTACAAGCACTGGAGAAGGAACTTTAAACAGTGTTTGTTTAATAAGCCACTCCTCATAGAGCTGATGGATAGCTTCTAAATATTCCTATAAAAAGCCATTCAAAACAAATGTTTACAGAGGTGAAACACATACTGCGGTTTCTGTACTTATATTTTTTAAAGTAAACCAAATCAGCTAAGAGGTCAATGACTTCAACCAACTGTGTATAAATAAGAAAGCTACCATCAAACACTTGATACTAAATCCAGGTTTCAGACATGGTTTGACAAATAAGGCAGGTCCTTATTATGCATTGCATTGTGACTACAGAATACAGTGCATCAGAAACTTTCACCCAACATTTCATTTGACTGAAGTCAGATACTTTAAGGCCAAAAGGGATCATTGTGATCATCTAGTCTGACATCTTGTATAGCACAGGCCAGAGAGCTTCTCTAAAATAATTCCTGTGAAGCATTTCTTTTATTCCCCTAGCTCCAGTCTACCATCTAAGCTCCACTAGCACCATCATTCCCATGGGATGCCATCAGGGCCAGCGCAACCCATTAGGCGACCTAGGCAGTCGCCTAGGGCGCTGCGATTTGGGGGGCGGCAATCGCGGTGGTATTTTGGCAGCGGGACCTTCCGCTGCCTCTGTGGGGGGCAGCATTTCGGGACAGGACCTTCCGCCGCCTAGGGCGGCGGAAAAGCTGGCAGCACTCCTGGATGCCATTGCCACTTCATGGCGAATCCACACAGACTGGGCAAGTGGAAACTTTGAATTTCTTCCTACTGGCAATGGCCACAATTTATCACTGGTGTTAGGATTTAACCTATGCTGGATCTAATCCACTGAGTCAATGGGACTGGAGAGCTCTCAGCACCTTGCAGGATCAAGATCTTTGTTTTAATTCCCATGGGAGGAGTCTGACTTAAACCTTACACAGAGATGAATAGACAGAAGAGGAAAGAACAAAAGGGAAAACTGAAATGAACACTGACTTCAGAGCTGTTTTTTATGTGGATACGTTTTTTCTACATTCCCAGTTGATTTTCTTCAACTTCCACTCACGTCCTTTAAAAGCATTTTTGCTTGTCAGCAGCTATTAGATTTTCATGAAGAGGACTTAACCTTTTTCATTCACTATAGGTTTTTTCCTCAGTAACAGAGAAAGACACTGCAAAGTGCAACACATGATGTCTCTTCAAAGCCAGTGTAGTAAAATAATAGCTAGGGCTTATTCACCTAGGGGACATTTCACATGGCTCAGGATTTAGCTCTTGGCTTTTATCTCACCATATATGTTCAACCTACCCAACTGCTCTTACTAAATCACCTTACAATAGAGGCACTTTAATAATAGGCAGCACATTCCTTCTATTACCCCATTTATTTCTGGCTTAGGGATTTATTTAAAAAGACCTGTTTGAGGCAGGGCCTTCACATAAACTATTGTTTAAGAGATGTAGTAATCTAATTGTACAACTTATTTTTATTAGGTTCCTGTATCACTGCGTGCTTGATTTTTCAAACAGTGCCTTCTTTTGGGGCACAGGCAAACACCTGCAAGGGCATTTTTCAAGCCCAAACACCTCTGCATACAGCTGATGAAGTTTGCACATGTAAATTCTATTGCCCGCACGCACGGGGGCTCATACTGAAGAAGTGCATGCGGAAAAGGAGAGCAGGAGGACACCCTTTGAAAATTTTGGTGGTGAATTTCTTTTTCTTCCCCATGTTCACTGAATTGTATTGTACTGACCTACCAGAACTGCAAACATGTAGAACTTGGGGTAGTCACTGTCCAAAATTATTTTGATTTTTAAATAAATAAGGATTAACTTGTCTCTACTAGACTATAAAGCTACAATGAACCCTACACACTCTTCCTAATACTAAGTTGCACCCATCAGTGGAAATAGGTGGATTACATTGTGGCAAGACCCTAACTTTTATTAACTGACTACAGTACAAAATTTTTATTTAGAGGGAGAGGAGCTACAGATTAAAAGCTATGAAGATACAAACACGTGATGCCCTGAAAGGCATCTTGAGCCTCTGCTCTACTATGATGGAAGATTTCCTTACCATAGCAATGATCTTTTCCTCTTCTCTGCATCTGTTCTTTAATCTCTCATAACAAGTTTCAGGAGAAGTCTGTAGATAAACTGCCATTAACAAAACATTGGAATAGTTATTTTCAGGGGTCAGGTTAGAAAGCAACATAGAGCAGAAATCTCCTCCACAACCAACAGAAAAGCAATCTGTGCTAGGCATTTCTGACATGGATATCAGCCACAAACGTCCACAGTGGCTCCACTGCTGGTCAATCTATCAGACACCAGTGGATTTGCTCTCGGAGGAAGGTAGCCACCTCCAAACGTCATGGATATATATAGATGAAGTATGGCAATGTAACAACAGCACCAAATGTTCCAAAGGCATGACTACTGTTTAACGTGTACACTAGAAGGTATTTCTTATGTCACAGAAATTTAGGACACAGGAAATAGAAATAAGAAAACATTTTTTCTTCTTTTTCATAATACAATACATAAAAAATACTCAATTTAAAAAGGGACCAGTGTCAAAGAAGAACATGTTTTACCTATCAAATCAACTGAAACATCAGTGTTCTTTGTGATCCATTCAAACCATTCAGTTAGCACTACGTAATCCACTTCTGGCATTCTCCCACTGCAACAATCAATAAGAAAATGATTTTTTATTACCTCTTTTACTACAAAATCATACAGTGTACAAGAGGGCCTGATTCTGATCTCTCAAATGATTTGCACCAGTATACCTTTGACCTCACTAGAATTACTCCCGATTTACACCAGCATAAGTGAACTCAAGACCCATAATGCCTCTAGTCATACAGAAATATCGTTCATGGGTCAGACATATGAAAAACATTTAAAAATTAAATACTGGCTAATATAACCCTCAGTTTTAACAGTTTTTGTAACACAAATTAGTATTTTATGCTATTTCACAAAAACACAGTTACTTGGTGAACTAAGTAGGAAAATGTTACAACATCAACATCTATACTGTAGATACAGTAAATCAGCATCAATTATATTTCTAACATTTTTCACAGTGGGACTGTTATGAATGTATTTAAACTGTTGCACACCATGCTGCCATGAACATTTGATTGACTAAGCAACAGCGACAATTTGTTACAGTTGCCAAAAGAAAGAGCAAGAATAATGGCATAATGTAAATTACACTTTACTTTCCATGTGAGAAGTATTTATTAGGATAGGGGATTATTGAAATATTCAGGAAGGTTAATTTGAGCTCTGCATTCCATCATATAGAATAAGCAATATTATAGACAACTATCCCAAAATGATCCCCTGTGGGTCCGGGGACAGAATAGGCCCACTGCTCCTCCTGCATGTCATAAGAGGCAACTAAAAGGGAGCTGCCTGGAGGGATGGGCTCTGCCAGGTTAGAAATTTGCCCAAGACACACCATATGATGAGCAATTCAACCATGTCCATACCGCATTGGTCACAACCCGGGTTAATAATGACCGCGCCATCCGTCTCCCACCAGGGCGGACGTGACAAGTATACTACTGGTGTAACCCCAACAAAGAAAATCCATGGAAGAGATGATATCACTATAGTCACATGGAATGTAAGGACACTGAGACAAACAGGGAGGTTGAAAAAACTCACGTACGAAATGGAGCAATACACCTGGCACCTCCTAGAAATCTCTTAGGTCAGATAGAAGAACTTCGGAGAGGCACTAACGGAAGAAGGCCATGTACTTTATTACAGTGGAGAGGACAAACATGTCAACGACGTAGGATTTCTAGTGCATAAAGATATCAAGAATTCAGTATTAGAATGCCGCAATATCCAGCAGGCTTATTTCCATCCATCTAAAGGCAGTACTGTTTAATGTCACAGTGGTACAAGCCTACGCCTCTACAACAGACTATGACAATGAGCAAATTGAAGATTTTTACAATCAGCTCCAAGATATCGTTGATAAGGTACACAAGAAAGATATCCTGATTGTACAGGGAGATTGGAATGCTAAAGTGAGTACTGACGCACAGGCAGATTGGCAAATTTATTGTGGCCCTTTCTGTAATGCGGTAACCAATGAAAGAGGATTGAGACTTCTGGAGTTTTCCAGCTATAACTATCTGGTTCTTGCAAACACATTAGGAGCACATAAAGCATCCAGACAATCAATGTGGCATGCACCTGACGGTCTACATCACAGCCAGATTGACTACATCGTGGTGCAAAACTGATTTTGTTCTGGGATTAACAGAGCTAAAACAAGGAGCTTCACCGGTACTGATGTTGAAAGTGATCACGACCTTGTAATGCTAAACTTTTGGCTGCGGCTAAAGAAAATCGTCAGGCCAAAGTTCACCAGAACCAAGTTTGACTTAGAAAGACTCAGAGACTGAAACATTGCAGTCATTTCAAGCAATGATTGACGGAAAATTTGCCCCACTGTTTGCTCTAGAGAAAGACGTAGAAACAATGACGAACAATTTCATGAGGCAGCAATGGACATCCTTGGGAAACACCGTAAGAAGACAAAACTCTGGGTCGCAAATGAAATATTACAAATGTGTGACAGAAGAAGAAAACTCAAGAGAGACAAGAACAGCACTAAGGGAGCTGATAAATACAGAGCGATTGGCAGAAAGACCAAGAAAGGAATGAAGGTGGCCAAGGAGATATGGATTGAAAAACAATGCTCTAAAATTGAAGAGTGTATCAATAATAAAAATAGCAAACAAGCCTTCCAGGTTGTAAAATATCTGACGAAGGAAAGATGGACCAAAGCTAACGCAATTCAAGACAAAGAAGGGAATAGTCTTACAGAAGAAAGGGACATCATCAATAGGTGGACAAACTACTGCTCTGATCTATACAACCACCAGACAAATGGGGATCTTAGTGTTATAGACAGACCAGATTCAACAGAGGAGGATGACTTTCCAATACAGCGTGAAGAAGTGGAGCCAGCTGTGAAATCACTCAAGAATGGAAAGGCTACAGGTATTGACAACATCCCAGCCGAACTGATGAAATTTGGAGGAGAAATAGAAATAGATGCACTCAACAAGATCTGCAACAAGTTCTGGCCCTTCACATGGACACAGTCACTAATCATCACTCTGCCAAAGAAAGGCAACCTGCAATTGTGTCAAAATTACCAGACCATAAGCTTAATTAGCCATCCCAGCAAAGTGATGTTGAAAGTCATATTGAACACACTGAAGCCACAAGCGGAGAATATCATCGCTGAAGAACAGGCTGGCTTTCGTGCTGAAAGAAGTACCACAGAACAGATTTTCAACCTTCGTGTTCTATGTGAGAAGTACTTACAACACCAGCAGGACATCTACCACGTCTTTGTTGACTTCAAGAAGGTGTTTGACAGAGTATGGCACAAAGCTCTCTGCGCAACCACGACGAAGTAAAATGTTGGTCGTAAGCTTATTCCTTACCATTAAACAACTGTATGCCAAGGCCAGCAGTGCAGTTCTCATCAATGGCACAATAGGAGAGTGGTTTTGCACCACTGTTGGGAGTCCGGCAAGGCTGCCTTCTTTCGCTCACACTGTTCAACATCTACTTGGAGCGCATAATGACTGATGCCCTAGAAGATAACATATGCACAGTCAGCACTGGGGAGCGAACAATTTCAAATTTTCAGTTCACTGATGACACTGATGGCCTGGCAGGCAGCGAAGATGAACTTGCCAACCTTGTGAAATGATTGGATGAAACCTCCACAAAATACGGCATGGAAATCAGTGCAGAGAAAACCAAGCTGATGACAAATAAACATGACGGAATTAGCTCACATATCACTGTCAGTGGACAAGAACTGGAGACAGTGAAACAGCTCAAGTATTTGGGGGCAATCATCACTGATGAAGGATCAAAGGCAGAAATTCTGGCAAGAACTGCGCAAACAACTGCAGCAGTGGCAAAGCTAAAGCCAATTTGGAGGAATAAGAACATCTTCCTGGAATCCAAACTGAAACTGCTGCACACATTGGTCATCTCCATTTTTCTGTATGTGTGTGAGACATGGACCCTTACGGCAAAACTTGAACGGAAAATACAGGTAGTAGAGATGAGATACTTCCGTAAAATCCTGGGCGTCTCCTACTTTGACCACGTCACTAATGAAGAGATCCGCAACATCATCACCCAATGCGCTGGGTCATATCAAGACCATGAAGAAGCGCAAGCTGAAGTGGTACGGCCATATAACATGATCATCTGGCCTATCCAAGATCATCCTCCAAGGGACAGTACAGGGGAAGAGAAGAAGAGGTAGAGAGAAGAAGAGATGGACTGACAACATAAAAGAGTGGACAGGAATGGACTTCGCGGAGACTCAAGCACTGACACACAATCGTCAGGGGTGGAGACAATTGGCTGATTGCTCATCAATGATGGTGCCCCAACGACCAATGCGGTTATGGGAGTGATGATGGTGATGATCCCAAAATGATCATCTTGATAAGAACAAACAGTAAAATATTAAACATGTAAATGAGTACAAGAAGTACTGATGTGTAGAACTCCTAGTAGACCTATGACCATTTGCAGCTTTCAGATGAGTTTAAAAGAGACAGACTTCGCTGCCATTCTTTTGGCAACATGTTTGGGTCGTCACCAGGGTGGAGACAGCAGCATATAAAGATATTTGCAATATCTATATTGGAGTTAAGAAAGAAAAAGAGCAAAAGCTTGCAGAAATTATACTACCCCCATTCCTTGTCTGCCATCCAAATTAACAGCTTGCCTCCACAATTTGGAGAAAGACAAAGGGAAGGGTAACAATTCATTGTGAACAAACAACTGTTGTTTTTCAAATACCCGTAACTAGCAAATGTTTTTCCGTGTCACCATCCATAATGATTTTATATTTTAACTGCACAAGCCAAGGGAAAAACAAACAAACCAAGGTTGATTCTGCCACTTTTCCCCCAAGACATATGAGAAAAGGAGGAGTGGCAAGGCTGGATAGAAATGGAAGTACAAAACAAAAACAACAACAAAACCCAGAATTAAATATATATTGCAATTGGGAGCCAATCCTGAAAATCTCTCATGTGCAGGCAGTCTGTGCTTATGTGAGCAGTGCCACTGAAATCAATGGGAATACTTTGCATGAGCATCTGGAACAGGCTCATGGAAAATAAAGGTCATGTGTAAGAATCAAAGCAGAAGTCCCTCTATCTCAACTGAAATCTTGCTGACGAGGACATGACTCTTCCAAAGTAAAAGTTCTCATTGCCAAGGTTATATAGGAATGGGAGCAACTTCCTAACCCAACTACTAATCTGATTTCAAATGGAAAAATTAACTTAATTATGATTTAATCATAAAAATCATACACATTCAAATGCATATGTCTAAAATTGCTAAAAACCAAATACATGCTTCTATTTCAATACTAAATATAGAGTTGTTATAATGATAAGAATGCAGAATCATTTGCATTTCTGTGGTGGCTTTCATCATAGAATCTCATGGCAAATGCAAATGAATGGAGCCTTGCAACATCCCTGTAAATATTCTTCAGTTTTTTGCTGACAGGAGTGCTGAAGCACCGAGAGTTAAAGTGACTTTGAAAGCCCACACCTGGATCAATGGCACCACTGGGAACAGCACCCGGAATTTTTT